GAAACAGCATTCCAACAATTGAAGGAAAAACTCATCAACGCACCTATTCTTCTTTACCCAGACTTCACAAAGAAATTTATACTCGTCACGGACGCTTCCAAATTTGAATTAGGAGCAATACTCTCACAAATAGATCAAGAAGGAAATGAAAAATCAGTAGCCTACGCAAGCCGTGGACTTGCACCTGCTGAACGAAATTACACTGCACACGAAATGGAATGTCTCACCGTAATTTGGACCATTAAGTACTTCCGACAGTACTTATTAGAACAAAAGTTCAACCTAATAACTGACCACGTAGGACTAAAATGGCTGATAACAAAATCCAACCCGACCGGAAGAATGATGCGATGGATCACCATACTCCAAGAATATGACTTTGAAATCATATATAAACCCGGTAGGAAACATTCCAACGTTGACGCCTTATCGCGAATATCCCACGAACGATTACAACTCAATGAACGGATTACTTCTACACTCGATGAAAAATGATCACAACAATGAATCAAGAACTATACGACCTGTGGATGAAATATAAAAAAAAAGATCAATCAATAATGGTGAAGTTATCGCCCGAACAACAAAAATATCTACAATTAAATAAAAATAATTACTTTATCATCGAAAATCAACTGTACCATCAGAAAAACAACGAAGAAAAACCCAAACAAATTATAACGGAAGATAAAAAGGATGTTATCCTCAATACCCTCCATCAAGACGAATATTCCGGACACCTAGGAAGAAATGCCACTATTGGTAAAATAAGAGAACGTTACTATTGGTCCGGATTCAAAAAAGACACAGAAGAATATCTACGAACCTGTCAAATATGTCAACAACGTGAACGCCCGAAGAAGACCGAATCACTAAATCCAATTAAAGTCAATCGCCCATTCGACCGAATAGGAATTGACATTGTAGGACCACTACCAACTACATCGAATCGGAACCAATACATAGTAGTTGCAATGGACTACCTCACCAAATGGCCGGAAGCACGGGCATTAAAAAGAGCTAACGCAATTAGTGTAGAAAAATTCATCAAGAAAGACATAATCACCAGACACGGATGCCCAAAAGAAATTCTCTCTGATCAAGAAACCCACTTCGTAAACGATACAATTCGACAACTTTGTGATCGACTAAATATTAAAAGAACTCTATCATCACCCTATCACCCCCAAACAAACGGACTAGTAGAAAGATATAATCAAACACTTACTGAAACACTCGCTAAACTAGTTATCCAAACAAAAACGCATTGGGATGAACATATCCATGCAGCTCTTTTCGCATACCGAACAGCTAAACAAGATACAACTAATTACACCCCATTCGACTTAGTATACGGAAGACAAGCAACTATACCCATTGAACTACAATTATCAACACCATCAAACACAAATGACAATAATTTCGAAACGGATCTAAATAGATGGATATACGAATCCATCTACGTCATCAACAAAAAACGACTCCAAGCAAAAAAAAACATCGACGCCGCCCAAGACAAACAAAAACAACGACACGACAAAGATTTATCACAAAAAGAATATAACATAGGAGACCGCGTACTAGTTTACCGTAGTAGACTAGACAAACAATGAACAGGAAAATTAGAACCGAAATGGGACGGACCATATACTATATATAAAAAATTAAACAACAGCGCTTACCAATTATTCGACGAAAACGGTATTCACGCACGATACATACACGGAAACTGACTCAAATCATTCAACAGACAAAAAGAATAATTCAAGGATGAATTTTCAAAACAAGAGGGGGAAGAAATGACCAAAAACACACCATTCGTACTAATTCCCGTCTCGAAGAAAGATTTAACACAATATAAAAGGAAATAATAAACAAAAATAACAAAAATAAAAATAATGAAACAACAAAGAAGTTTAATAAACAATAAAGGCCAACAATAAAAAAAAAAAAAAAAAGAGAAGACCGAAATCACATGATACACGTGATTTTCAGATCTGACGTCACCCAATTGAATTAAAAACTAACGGATAATATAAAAATAATAAGAACAAACGAACTAACGAAAACAACTTAACAATAAACAACTTTCGAAATGTCGACCGATGAACATGAAAATGACACAATGATGGAAATGTGGCAATTAGCCACCCAAATTTTCAATAAACTCAAAGAAAACTGTCCAGACCTGACAATAACCATTGGAAACACAGGTTCACAATTCAACGTAACGCCCTTAGGAGAATATACAGCAACAGAACAACAAATAAACACTGTCTTCGAAGAAAATGATATATTAGGTGAAATTACAACATTAGAACACCCTCTAAATGACGAAATGACAATTGACTCTAAAGTATTACGAGCTAATCAACAATTTCAGAGCTCTTGGAAACGGCGAAACACGAAAATACGAATAAAGAGGAAGAAAACGTTGCCTAAACGGAGGATTAAAGAAATTTGGCAACAATTGGGAGAATGCTTTTCTTCCAGAGGCCGTTCTGGA